TATTAGTGATTATTTTATCTGAAAAAGGACCGAACTGTGGGGTTTCAGCCCAAACTCGTCTGCATGAACTGCTGTCTCTGCAGCGGTCTCTGGATTTCCGTGAGTCCCGTGAGGCGGAGCCCCACCCCCTCTGGGAGTACCCGTGTCGAGCTCTAACTCAGTCCACCGCTGCCATGACCTTTGACTTCACACAATGTGTCCCTCAACAGCCAATCAGCAGCCAGGGCTCCCTACCTTTCATACGGTAGTTAGTAACGCCACAAAACATTTACTTTGTGTTTGAAGTCGTTAATCTGTTAAAATGTCTGATTCAGAGCTGGTTGTTGCCATGGCGTCGCCTTGTGGATGGAATATCACCTGACTGATGACATCACCGTCAGCGCAGGTCTAACCAAACCAATCAGTGATCAGGTACTACTCATTCTTTTTGCTCATTAGTCGTCTGATTTATGAATTTATGGAAGTATTAAAGTCGTATTAATATCTGAACTGTTGTGTGGCGTTTATAAAGCAAAGCTGGATCCGTAAAGATTCCTGCAGTTGAAAATCTGGTGACTCTGAATTCATTTGGGTTTTTGGGACGTTTCCTGCAGGGCGACTGCGAGTGGAGTCGACACAGGAAGCAGGGAGTTTACTTCCTCAGGCCGGCGTGGGAGAGTTCAGGTGACGGCCGGGCGGCGCTGTCCTACAGCTTCACCTTTGAACCCAGTTTAGGAGACATTAAGATGGACTTTAGCATCACAAACCAGTGATTCTGGAGAGGCTTCACCTCCGTTTTTGTATTTTGGTGCCCGTTTAACACGTGTGGTTACGATCATCATTACCATTTGCCTTTTAATGACACATGACCGCTCTCAGGATGAAGCAGGCTGCAGAGTTTGAACTTTCTACATCCCAGAATGTTCTTCTGAAAAAGTTTTGCATTAAACATTAAAACCATTTAATGCCAACTGATATATTTAAATGAGTTCAGTGTTTGGCATGGCAGCAGCACTAGCCACTTACGTTTCTAAATCCAGATGTAGTCAGTCCCGGGTGAAACGTGTTTATAACCCCGCAAACATTTCACGGACTGAAGAGTGTTGCTGATACGGCTTTCTGACTGCTACAGCCTTCTGGTTTCCTGCTGTAACTGATGTCAACCTGCTGGTGAATGTCTGAGCACATTAGAAACAGAGAGAAGTAAATCTGTAACAGGATATCCACGGGTCCTTAAAAAGTCTTAAATTAGCTTTTCCAAATTTAAGGCCTTAAAAATCCTTAAAAATGACAAATAATAATCCTTAAATACAGTTTCCAAAGGTCTTAAATTACCAAAGACCCAATAAACAAGATTCTTTTATTTCAATATTTTCGTGAATTTCTAGTTAGTGTTCTGCATTTTTTGTGTGCGATGTTGCCGTAAGCGGAACCGTACACATTCAGTTGGTTGTGAAAGGGGGCTATTTTCAGATGAGCACATTAGCTGGTTAAGCTAGTGGGAGCTCGCGCCATGGGGAAGTGCAAGTTTAATGGTAACTGGATGGTTAATCCCACGTTAGCGACGTGGTTAGCACCGGTTCCAGGCAATAGCTGGAAATTATAGCTTAAAGGGACTTTACGGAGTTTTGAATTTTTATGCTCGTGATCGCCCCCTCAGGCCAAAAGGGTAACGTCAGCTTTAATGGTAGTCTCGTGCACGAGGCGCGCATGCTGTACGTGCGCACTCAACGAAAATAACAGCCGAGACAGTCCTGTGTGTGTGTGTGTGGGGGGGGGGGGGGGGGGGGAGGACAGAGGACAGGAGAACACACAGCTAATTAATTAAATAATGTGGTTCTGTACCTTTCTCTTCAGCACAGCCGACAAAGGTTTATGATGGGTCAGTCCTCCTGCATGCTCAGATCATTCCCTTCCCTTGCTTGAAAAATTGTTCCAAAATGAAAGTTGAACCCACATCTCTTTTATCTGTGAATTCAATGCCGTTCGGCAAGTCTCCAATACAAATTTGGGCATCTTACTGTAAAAAATATACCATTAATGTAAAATGGTAAATGGCCTGTATTTGATATAGCGCCTTCTAGAGTTCTTGAGACCCCCCAAGGTGCTTTACAACACAATCAGTCATTCACCCATTCACACACTGGTGGGGATGAGCTACAGTGTAGCCACAGCTGCCCTGGGGCGCACTGACAGAGGCGAGGCTGCCGAGTTTTGGCTGTCAAACTTCCATAATGCCCCTTTAACTTAAATTTTAAAAAGAGCTTAAATTTGGTCAAAGTGGCCTTAAAAAGTCTTAAATGTGGCTCCCTTAAACCTGCAGATAACCTGTGTAAGTTATCTCCTTACCAGACTCGGGCTCTCTCGCTCCTGTTTAGTTTCATTTGCACGGCTCTGTGTACATCAGAGACAGGGTATCTGCAGGGTTAAGGGAGCCAAATTTAAGACTTTTTAAGACCTTTTTTAAGGCCACTTAGACCAAATTTAAGCTATTTTTATAATTAAATTTAAGCTTTATTTTCCAGCTATTGCCTGGAACCGGTGCTAACCGCGTTGCGAACATGGCATTAGCCACCCAGTTACCATCGAACTTGCACTTCCCCATGGCGCAAGCTTCCACTAGTTTAACCAGCTAATGTGCTCATCTAAAAATAGCCCCCTTTCACAAGCAACTGAATGTGTACGGTTCCACTTACGCCAATATCACACACAAAAACTGCTGAAGACTAACTAGGAATTCATGAAAATTTCATAGAAATAAAATAATCTTGTTTATTGGGTCTTTGAAAATTTAAGACTTTTGGAAACTGTATTTAAGGATTATTTGTCATTTTTAATGATTTTTAAGGCCTTAAATTTGGAAAAGCTAATTTAAGACTTTTTAAAGGACCCGCGGATACCCTGCAGAGATGACATCACTTCCTGATTCAGGGATTAAGCGCACAGATGATTTTAAAGCACAAATTCACCATAATTTACAAACTCAAAAGTAAATCAAATTTGTTTTCTGTTTAATTTGCTTTTATTTCCCATCTCACTCTCGCTGAACTCCAATCTCATGAGAGGAAACTCATCTCACTCGCATCCCTGTCAGCAGACATGTCCGGAGAAAAATCCCAAAGGAAACCTTGGAGGATGGAATAAAGAGGAATGTAAATGTCTCGAAGCACGAGCAGCAGAACCGTGGAAGCTTTTCCCTTCAAGCGTCCGTCAGCGTTTTGTTGTCTAGAACAATCTTCTCTCCTGGTTTAAAGGCTGGCATCCCCAAATATGGGCAGCTGGCACATCGGAAGGCGTCGCCAAGGTAACACTGCCACATAGAAGTCAGAGTTGTCATTTCCTCAGGAGTTGGTTCAGATCAAACAAAAACACGTCTACTCACACTGCCACATGCGGACTTTGGAAGGTTAGTTTTCTGTTTCTCTTTACTCTCCTCCAACTCTTCAGCGAGTCCACAAGTGCTGCAAACACAGCAGGTCATGAAAAGGATTATTAGAAATATTCACAGCAAAGGTGGTTTGTATTATTTCTGATGAAGACCAGGAGTCTCATTTATCAAACATTGCGTAGAATCCTTACTAAAACCGTCCTTAACTCATTCACCGCCAGCCGTTTCCTGATTGGTAAAGCCCTTCGCTGCCAGCATTTCTCACCGTTTTTTTAAGAGTGACAGAATGTTGCGCGCTAGCATGATGTCGACGCCAAAACAACCAAAACAAAGCAGAGACTCACCTCTTACATCAGGAAGAACCTGTGCGTTTCGAGCGTTATCCGTTCTTTCATAATCCGTTGTTCAGTTGCGATCGGCAGAAGCTTTTCCGGTTCGCGCCTCACTTTTTTTACAGCAGCGGCCCAAAACGATCTCCTAACACATGGATGTTCTGCTTCCTGATCACGTGACGTGTGCGGATGAAGATCGGCTTCAGAGCTGAGATGTTTGTTCTCTTGGCGCGGGGGCTCGTCCGACGCCCACACAGTAAAAACATGCAAATGACGACTTTAGTCATTTGCAGTGAATGAGTTAAGCTCAGCAAAAAATATGAACTTACACCAAGCAGGTTTGTGATCTATCAAACATGGAGGACGCACAGCTGCACGCAATCTCCGCTCCATAAATCAGAGACTAACGAGAATGTTTCTCAGCTGCTTTTTAGTCACATCCCGCCCTCACCACGCCCACTTACTGCCATAAATAGTCAATGCAAAGTGCCTTGTGGATCTCATGCATATACATAAACCGGCTGTTGCAGCGCTCCGCCAATAACATGGCGACCGTAGATCACGGCAGATCAAGGAAGCGCAATTTCACAGAAGCAGAAGTTGAGGTACCTGTGGATGAGGTGGAGAAATGAAAGGAAGTGCTTTTGCAAAACAAATAAGAGAAAATCCACGGAGTGGCACAGCGTTGCTGAAGCCGTCAATGCTGACTTCTTCAGAGAGATCTGTGGCGGATATAAAAAGAGTGGTCTAATCGGGGTTCGATCCCCAGACTCCCGGGTGAAAGTCAGGCGCGCTAACCAGTCAGCCAAACGGAGATCTCCCCTGTACAAGTAGCCAGGGCGCATGATCAGTCGGGTCACAGTGACAGGACACACACCGTCACAGACGCATGATGTTCTGTCTCAATCTGTCCCCCTGCTGATATTCTGCATTCCGTATTCTGCAGGATTTCATAACTGTATCTTCTCAGCAGCAGCGCTGCAGGTGCTCTCCATGTCCAGCATGTGCGTAAGCCAGGTCCTTAGTCAACTTAAAGTTGCGCACATTTTTCCGCTAAGTTTTCTTTCATAAATCCCAAAGTTTGCGTGGAAAATTGCTTACGCAGTTTTCCGACCCCGTTTTGTGCGTAAGCAAGCTTGATAAATGAGACCCCTGCAGTTTAACCAGAAGTGTTTGAATTGTAATGCAACAACTGAAGCTACTAATACTAATCTAATTACAGAGGTTGTTAGTAAAATACATAAAACATCCTTTAAGTGGTGAACTCACCAGTTCTTGCAGGCTTTCTTCTTCTTGGTACCTCCTTCACCACAACTTGCAGCTTTCAAAGAAGCTGGATCTGGCTTCTTTAAGTCCTCTTCATCGAGCAGCGCATCAGAATCCAGCAAATCCTGACGTTAGCAGGAACACAAGTGAGGCTAGCAGAGCCAGAGGTTTTCTTTTATTGCATTCAGAGACGTTCCCTTCAAGGCGTCCAGCGCCAGTCGTGAACTCACCACATCGTCGTCATTCATGTCGTTGGCCGACAACGTCCACATTTTCACCGTGTTGGGATCCAGAGCAGGTTTCTCCGCTGAAAACAAACATTTGACCAGAAATGATAATCATCTCCTAAATAAAAGGAAAGCAAGGCCATTCAACTGTAAACCTACCTGGCTTGGGTGTCTTTTTTCCAAATGACAGCTTGATCTGGCTGGAAGATCCCACCTCATAGTTGGGTTTGGAGGCAGATACACGAACTCGGGACAGAGTGTTTCCTTGGTAACCGGTTGCTGCTCTAAAGGAGCTCAACGCCTCGGCGCCGAGTTCTGTTTTACTGACCTGAACGGTGAGAGGAACAAAACTGTGAGGGGACCTAAGGAGACTTCAGAAATAAGACATTCACTCTTTAATCCTACTGGAAAATGTGATTTCAATAATAACCGTCAAATAAACAACATTAGAAACGGAAACTGACCCTAACCCTAACTCACCTCTGTTACTGACATGAAGCCACACAACTTCAGCGTTGACATGAGTTTCTCAGTCGTCCTCACGCTCTGTGCTTCCGTGCCTAAAAATGAACATCGTCGTCATCTAGAATCATTCCAAACGGAAACATTTCATCATCTGATGATTTTGATAAACTTGTAAAAATGTATGAGGGCTTCGTTTAAACGCAGAACACAAAAACAAGTGTTACACATCTAATTCATGCCTAAAATGGCCTGCATTTGATGTAGCACTAGAGTCCTGGGACCCCCCAAGGCGCTTTACAACACAAACAGCCATTCACACACTGGTGGTGATGAGCTACACTGTAGCCACAGCTGCCCTGGGGCACACAGACAGAGGTGAGGCTGCCGAGCACAGGCACCACCGGTCCCTCTGAACACCACCAGCAGGCAAGGAGGAGGGTTAAGTCTTGCCCAAGGACACAACGACAGCAACAGACTGAGCGGGGCTCGAACCTGCAACCTTCCGATTACGGGGCGAGCGCTTAACTCCTGCGCCACCGTCGCCCACAAACCTTGCCTTGTGTCATTCAAGAAGAGGGTGAGGAAAAACATTTGATCCACCACATAAGAGACAGTGTCTCCAACCTGTAACCGGCTCTTCCAGGACCAGCCTGCCACCAGGTTTGAGCACTCTGACCATTTCTGCCAAAACGTCTGAACTGTGGATGGAGGAGCCATCAGCCAAGAGGCAGGAGAGTACCCAATCAAAGGAGGACGCTGCATGAGAGGCTGAAATAAGAGGGGAAAAACATTTACTGGTATTCTACCAACTTCTTTTATGTTTTAATAACTGTCGGAATATCATAGCGAACATTTCACAGCATGTGTGTGCTGATGTGTGATAATAATCACCAAGTCTAGCTCAGTATAAAATAAACTTTAGGACTCACAGAGTAACATTCTCTCCATGTTCTCTACTGCCACTTTTCCATCCACCCCAACAACAGAACTCAGTTGTTCTGCATACTGTTTTAAGGCTTCTGGCGAAGATGGCTGCGCCCACACCAACAGAACCGTGTCTCCTGCCTTGATACCGAGGTCTGCCATGGTTTCCCGAAGAAAGATCTAGTCGCCGATTTACTCAAATCTGTAAAATAAAGAAGCTGGTTAAGGAAATCAGCGCAAACACAGAAACTACATTAGTTTAAACAATGAAGGGTTAAACCATCAACACGAGGATAATGCAGATAGGATTTCACACACATCACTGCACTTTATTGATTCACACCTAATTAGAAAGTTCAGGTCTTCATTATAACGTTTGATCAAAAAATTCTTGCAATAGTGAAACACAAAGGTGTGTAGTATTTTTATATCAGCAAAGAAAAATGCTGGGAGAGAAAATAACAGGCTTGCTGCTTTGATCCTAGATGTGTCAACAGAGTAAGTCAAGCTAAATGAGCAGTTTCACATCCATGTAAACACATAATTACAGTAAACATAGCACACCTGCCCTGACTACGGTATCAAACCTACGACCAAAGTAATAAAAATACGTATGACAATACTGTTTTTTTTAACTATTATTAAAATGTGAGTGATGCTTCGGTGTTTAACACGGGACAAAAGTGTTCACTTCAAACATCCGAAACGTAGCAAAAAGCAGAGTGACGCAGTTCTAACTGTTGAGGACATTTTTCAGATTTCTTACCGTTTTTAGATTGTTTAAATCCGATAAACATCTACCTCCAATGAACGTACACGTACGTTTGTACCGTGTTACTTTGAAGCTTTTCATTAAATTACATTTTCTAAACAAAACACATTTCCAGCAACTGTTCTCACAGACTCACCTGCTATCCTCCTGTTCGTTAAAAAGTCACGTACGCTTACGTTCGCCTCAGTTTCCTGTTTCTAATTTTCAAAATAAAATAATCGACCGAATTCTCTAGACGTACTGTTTATTAAAGTCATTATATGCTGATAAGGATGTTCTTTTGAGATTTTATAAATATTTTTTTGTTCCTTTTAGGGTAAAAGTAAAAAAATTAATGGTTAAAAAAATTAACTTCAATATATACATTTTTTTTTTAGTTGAAGTGCACTAATTTAAGTCTGCTTGACTTCCGTTATCTAAGAGTCGCGGTAAAGTGACGTAGCTGTGAGCCTTTCGGCTAATATGGCCGCGCTTCTGAGAGGATTGCGGCCTGGACGGGTCCTCCGAGGACTGGGCGGCGGTAAAACAGACTTTTTTTTTTTTTGTCTATTTTTCGTTTAAACATTGGACAGCCCGTAGAAAAAGCATACATTTACTATTATTTAGTTTTTTATTGTTAAAGCTAAGAAACGAGCCTGAATTGACGATAGCCACACAGGCAAAGTCATTTCAGTTCAGAAGGTGATAATGAAGGACAATTTCTTACATTAAAGGGGCTGTAGTTTAATAAAAAATAATTGTTAATACTAAAATCTCTACACTAATATGATCAAATTTGCCAGACATAAACTTTTAAGACATAAAGCTGTGTAAACACGGAGGTTGCTGCAGCTGGGGGGCGTCTTCTCATCAGTTATGCAAAGCTGTCAGTGTTTGTGATCGTCTATAAACAGCTGCGAATACTTTACTTGTACGATGAGAAACCTACGATTGACGACACGAACACATTCGTAGCTACATTTTTAGTTTGGCCGTGATTACAAAATCAGGGCACCGTAAACAAACTCGGGTCAGTTACTGTTTATGTTTCATAAAAACCAACCCAATGATTTAATTTTAAATACACTTCAGTCACATTTAAAACAATTTCAGTTCACTTCAGTACAGTCAAATTCAAGGTGTCTTTATTTTGTTTGTATTTATTTATATATAGTTACTTTTATTTATTTTTTTCTAAGATTTACCCCAAAACTTGTTGGGGGTCAGTTAAAGTCAGATACGTTGTATTGTATTTAACTGCATTCTTGCTAAACCTTACAATAATAAAGAATGAAACAGAAAACCTTTAAAGTTGTGCTTTTGAACCAAACTGTAAAACTCCTGAAGTGCACATGAGGTCTGCAAGAAATTGTTCCAGAGGTCAAAAAGACCCTGTGGGTTTACATTTTGGGCACCCCTGGCTTAAGCGTCATAGACATTGATTTAATTCTTCTTCCTTTTAGCGGTTGCTGCCCCAGCAGCAGCAAACCCTCAGCACCGTAGCCTGAGTCGAGGTTTCCACTGTGCAGCGCTGAAGCTGCAGGATGAGTCCAAATCTGATAAATCCACTTCTTTTGCGTCATCCCCTTCCTCATCCTCCACAACGTACCAAGAGCACAGCCAGACTCACTCAGCTGATCAGAACACAGAAGCAGATTTCCAGCATGAATTCGATCCAGCAGCTGACGGAACAAACCCCAGGTCAGTCAGCATGAAACAGTTGGATCTTTACCTTTTTCATTTTGATAAAAGGTCCATGTTTTTTTATTTTGATCAATCAAAATGAGCTGCCTTTGCACCCCTCTTCTTCTTCTCTTTCATTGTTGCTCAAATACAACTCCATCCGTACGTGAAGCGACCAGGAGCAGGATGAGGAGTATGAGACAGAGGAGCAGCTGCAGGCTCGTATCCTGACCTCTGCCCTGGAGTTTGTCCCGCAGCACGGCTGGTCGATGGAAGCTATCGCTGCTGGTGCCGAGGTGATAAAAACACAGCATGTAGCTTAAAGCTTGTATGATGCGGTGAGAAGCATTTGTCTTTTGTTTAATGGTTGCTGTACAAATATCTGATCCACGTGAGAGTAAAGCACGCAGGTAGTAGCTGATGAAAAGTCTTCTAATGTTGTTGTTTTGGCGCCAGGTTCTGGGTCTGTCCTCCGCCTCCGCTGGCATGTTCTCCAACGGAGCCGGAGACCTGGTCCTGCATTTCATCGCCCAGTGTAACTCGAAGCTAACGGAAGTTCTGGCAGAACAACATAATCAGGTCCAGCAGGGCCATGCCGAGTACGTATAACTTCATTGCTCGTGGTCAGGAAGTGAAAGGCTTGAACATTTGGTGGAAGATGCCAATAAAAAAAATATTGAGGTTCTTTTTTAAAATGTTTTTCTTATTTTTTATTCTCCCTGTGTTTTATTGATTTTTAACTGTTAGTTTTAGGAATTTTGTTGTTTTTCCTTTTGATCTTTTATCTCTGTTCTACATGACGGTCTGACGCCGGTTTAATTAACTAACATTTTTAGTGTACAGCTCCTTGTTTGGTTGTAACGCCTTGTTGAATGTCCTTTATAAATAAAATTGGATTTGGAAAAAACATTTAATTAAAATGTATTATAATTAAATGTATACTGAACGTGATAAATGGACAAATATTGGAGACGCCTTTTTGTTCATTTCTTTTCCATATTTGAACAATTCTTCCTTTTTTTATTTATTGTGATAACTGTGCTGCAGACCAAAGAAGACGGCAGAGTTTCTCAGAGATGCAATAGAGACCCGGCTGCGGATGTACATCCCCTACATCGAAACATGGCCACAGGTTATTCAGAGTAGACGTGGAGAGCACTGAGAAGACTCAAACTTTTAAAAACGGCAGCATGAACTAAATTTGATCCTTGGACTCGTGTTTGTTTTCTCAGGCGATGAGCGTGCTGCTCCTTCCTCACAACATCCCTGACAGCCTGAAGCACCTCTCCACCATGGTAGACGACATCTGGTACTACGCTGGAGACCGGTCCACAGACGTGAGTGGATCCTATCGCCCGCGGTCTCCTTTCACATCTGCTCACAGCTTCCTGTCCCCCTTTCACCAGCATCCCAACACAATCCGGCCTGCTTCCTCTCAGGTTACTAACACCCCACGCCCAACTTCCAATCAACTTAACATTTTATTTTTACTTTTGCATATCTTTGCATAATTTGAAGGATTCTGCAACATACTTGTATGTTTATGTTTCTTTTGTTTAGCAGACGCTTTTGTCCAAAGTGACCTACAAGTGATAATAAAGCCAACAACAAACACCAATCAGTCAATTTAAACAGCCTTACTTCCATTCCTTCCTTACTTCTTCTGTTTCTGAGTTTTCTGTTTCATTTGGTGAAGTGTTGCATGTGTTCCTCAGTGCTAAATACTTTTCCTTTCCAACACAGTTACAGTAAATGGATGCTAAACTAAAAATGGACATCCATGTCAACCAGGTAGTTGAGGCCTGTTTTTACCACCTGAGGCGTCTCTCTACAGTTAAGCCCATTTTAAAAACGGCGTCATCTCCATTCAGTTGTCCATACCTTCATTACCTCCCGTCTCGACTAGTCTTAACTCGTACGGTATCTCCTCCACTCTCGCCCGCCTTCAGCTAGTGCAGAACGCAAATCTCCATTGGCTTCCCATCCATCTCTGGATGGAGTTTAAGATCCTGGTTTTTGTGTTTAAATCCCTCAATAAAGTAGCACCTGGCTACTTGTCTGAGCTCATTCACCCTTATGTCCCTACAAGATCCCTCCGATCAGCCGACCAGCACCTCCGCCATGTCCCTAGCTCCCGCTGTAAGTCCCACGGGGAGCGCGCCTTTTCAGTTTGTGCACCGAAGCTCTGGAGCCACTCGCCCCTCCCAATCAGACTCTCTTCCTCTCTTTCCCTTTTTAAGTCTCGTTTAAAAACTCACTTTTATTCTCTGGCTTTTAATTCAGTCTAACTTATTCTCTGTCTCCTTTTCTTTCTATTTGAATTACTGGATTTAGTTTTTAGTTTTGATTGTTTGTATTATGGATTCATGCCGTGTTTAGATGTGCTGTACGAATAAATGTAATGTGGTTTAAATGTGTTGCTGCTTAGACGAAAATGTAAAAGCTCCATTTTTGCGTGACGTGTTTCTTCTTCAGATGAACTGGTACACTAAGCGGGCCGTTCTGACGGGCATCTATAACACCACAGAGCTGGTGATGCTTCAGGACTCCTCTCCGGACTTTCAGGACACCTGGACCTTCCTTGATAATCGCATTCAGGATGTGGTCAACATGGCCACCACAGCCAAGCAGGTAGAGAAGAATATGTGAGCAATAAAATCAGGCTACTCAGGAAAGTCTGTAGCAGCATGCACGACTTTCTTGCTCCTTCTGCAAATGTTGCTTTGTTTTGACTTTGTTTAGGTCCAGTCGACTGGCGAAGCTGTGGTGCAGGGGCTCGTGGGAGCCGCTGTCACTGTGAGTCTTTCACGCTTCATTAGTGTCGGTACGGTCTGGGGAGGATAGCGTCAGCTCGGTCTCAAACGGGCGGTGTAGTGTCCACGTGTAAACCCCGAGCCTGTGGGCGGCGTTTAGTACACGTGAGGACGTCCGCGGTGTCCTCCATAATAAGAAACAAAGCAGGTGTGAGCCGTGTTGCTTTGGGAGACTCTGAACCACATTATTTTATTAATTTGCTGCGTGTGTCCTCAAAAAACTCTTGTCCTCTGCTGCTGCGACACACACACACACACACTCTGCTTTCTCCTATGAGCAGCTGTCTGTCGGCTCGCTGGGACAAGAGCTCTGATGCAGAGGACAGGGACACACGGATATCTCTCTCTTCTCCCGTTCCCACTGACAGCTCCGTGCTACAGACAGAGACGTTTACCTGACAACGTCCAGCGTGAAAATGAATCACACACACGGGAACGCCCCACTGGCCGAGTCTACTCACCAGTCGTCAGTCCGTAGTGTCACCTCGGTCCCAGTCGGACCGCTGAGGGGGAGGTCTGGAAAAAAGAATGGCCTCGGACTCTTTACCCGTTATAGTTTAAACCACCAAATGGTTCCCGAGCGCGGCCGTGTCTGCAGCTCACCGCTCCCCCAGGGGATGGGTCAAATGCGGAGAACAAATTTCGCACACACACCTGTGTGTGTGTGACAACTAATGGGACTTTAAAGAGCAAGTCACTCCAAATCAACATTTTTTTTGTTGATAAACTATATAAATGAGTGTCTGATTATGCACGTGTAGTCAATAATTTGGCACTTTAGTGCATCTTAGTTAAAATTTAAATATTCTGCCTAAAACTGTCAGCGATGCACCGTCGTCAGGCACTGCATTTGAATTTAAATCTGCCATCGCTATTGGCTAAGAGGTACACTATGATGTTAGATGGTACATTATGATGTCACAATGTCATGAGTGTGTGTATTTGTTAGCGGCTCCGCCCTCTCGGTCTGCTAGTCAACAGAATTTGTTGCATTTTTCAAACAGGAAGTGGGAGTTGAGTAAGAATCTGGCAGGGGATGACTTGCTCTTTAACTTTAACTTTAGTTCGGCAGGCTCCATCATAGAGCCCTGCACTGGAGCCCCAGGCCCGGGGGTCAGCCCGGCCTTCGGGCCGACGACTGTGTAGTTACCTCGGACACGGGCCGGGCCGGGCCGGGCGCCTTTATTTTTAATCGAATTCATACAAAAAAAGCTGAAACACTTGAACGCAGCAGCACCTGCCTGCTTCTCACGCACCGTTAGCTCAGTTAAGGTGTGTGTGGTTTATAAACGCACCGATATAAACAAATTTTCAAACTGCTGACTGAAACATGTGGCCCTGTTCTAACACGCCGTTTTATGTCCACTTTGATGTCAGAAACATTCGTTTATCCTCATGAAAACAGCAGCACTCTATTTTTCTGTGAATAAATTCGCTCTGCAGTTAAAAAATTACAGCATTTATCGCTGGTTTGTTTTCTAACTGGAGAGCGCGTTTTCAGAGCGGCAGATTAAATTTACAAACGCATCCAATTAATATAGTGTTCGTAAATTTCATCTGCCGCTCGGAAAATACGCTCTGTTAGAAAAAAAAGCTGCATTGATGCTGTTTTTCATTCTTTTTTATTTATTTACTGCTGAACGCTTCCCACAGATGATCAGAACACTGAGCATCCTATCACGCTAAAACATTATGAAAGGTTAAAAAAAAAAAGCCGGGCTCGGGTCGGGCCAGAGAATCCTGAAAACCTTTTCGGACCGGGTCGGACTGGGGCTCCACCCCCTCGGGCCGGGACGGACACGGGCTCAGATTTTAGGCCCGTGCAGGGCTCCACTCCTTCATTGGCGGTTTTCAAATCTCGATTAAAGACCCACTTCTGGCTTTTGGACAGCGACTCGTTTTAGTGCTTTAATGCGTTCTTAGTATTCCTCGTGTTTTATCTGCTTTTGATCGGTATTTTGGTCGTGTTTTGGTTTAGCCTGTGCAGCACTTTCTCCCATGCTGCGTTTTAAACGTGCTATATAAATAAAGAAATAAACAAACTATGGGATGGAAAATGCATATCTGACCGATGTGAGAAATAGGGCTGAACAATAATTCAATAACAATGTCTATCGATCGATAGACATGAAAAAAATGAGTAGATAAAAAAAAGTTTCCCTTCTCCATCGTTGCCCATCGAGTAGCTTCATACCAGTCATTACTTCCACCCAACCAATCAAAAACACAGACCCAAGCCCTCCCCGCCCAGACAGACAGCTCTGTGACTTAAACAAGATGTTGCAGCAAGGAGAGGTGGAAGAAACTGTCCCGAGGAAAGCTTGCAGCACTTCATCCGTGTGGCAACATTTTCATTCTTACACGTCTGACAAAAACAAACAACGGTTTGCAAAATTCGCAGAGAATCAATAAAAGCCAAGTCTGGTAACACAACCAACTTGTTTTTATCATAAAGTAATGACATAAAACGGACAGGGCTGCACTTAAAATATGTTTTCTACATTTTTCATAGGATTTTCAATAATTATTTATATCGATCGATAAGGTTTTTTTTTAAACGATAGGATTTTTTCTATATCGTCCAGCCCTAGTGGGAAACCAAATTCTGGTTTCCTTACCGGTCCCGTACCAAGCCGTGCTGACGCTAATGTGCATGCGCCAAATTCTCATAACCCTACAGGTCATGACGGCAGTCGTACGTATGTAAAGAAACGCTCTGTGGTCCGCAGGTTTCAGGATTAGAAATCATTTAAAAAGTATTAATTGTGTGTTTTTATCATGAAGTCACTGGTTGTATGTATGTAGTTTGTTTATATATGTACACATGTTTGGCTGTTTTGTTTATTTTACAGTTGAAGAATCTCACGGGACTGAACCAGAGGCGATGATGGGAAACCTCTCCGTCCCACTTGGCCATTTAGTTTCTGAGCTTAAGATCGGTTTTCCTTTTGCTCTAATATTTGTTTAATTGTACGACATGGCTCAGAAAGAAATTAAATTATGGAATAAAGAAAATCTTAATTTGATATCTTTCTGAACATTTGCAGAATCTGTGTCTTTGTTTCCCCACATCCAAACAGCTTCGTCTCTGTTGTATAGAAATGCAAACATAAATATCATTTACTGAACCACACACCCATTAAAGTTTAAAATGTTTTTGTTCTGTTGTTGTCTTTCTTTTGAATAAGCAGTTTCTCTATTTTTTTGCAGCAAACACACAAACAAAGGCGCAACAGTAGAAAACGGAATCTTCTGGTGTCCAAAGCCACGCTTTTATTTTTTTAAACCATTTGTGTTTTTTTCCCCTCTGTTAATGTTTAAAGAGCAGTAATGAGTAAAATGGAAATTCACAATAAATATAACATTTTTATGGAAATAATGGGAGTTATCACTTTAGCAAAAAGGGAGCAATCAAAATCCTGCAACGACGTGGTGTTTAACCGGCTGTTGAAGCTTATTTATATTGCCACTCAAAATAAAATATTAGTTGAGACTTTAGGTGCTTTTACTTTGAAGGACAATCCGTCGCTAATAACCCGGTTGTGAAAGAAAAGCCCGCCTTCAAACAAAGATATCAGCCAATCATAACTGTAGCTTGAAATCTCTAGCCAATAAGCGGCCAGCTAATGTTTCCGCAGAGGCCTGCAAACCGACGTCACGGTAGTGGAAGTCGTGAGGTCTTAAGACGGGTTTTGTCGTAATTTTAGTTTATAAATCACAAAATGCCGTACGCTAACCAGCCAACGGTGAAAATAACAGAGTTGACGGACGAAAACGTAAAGTTTGTTATTGAAAACACGGATTTGGCGTAAGTATTGTTTGTTTTTTCCATTCAAGCAGAGCGTGAGCCTCGACTGTAGTTAGCGTCAAAACATTCATGTTCCCAAACCCCAAATCATCGATAAGTTCGTTTATTTTACGCATTTTTTACCTCAAGTAAAGTGAAATGAATTACTTTATATAATTGTTAAAATGCGTTTGCATGTCCGTTTTGATGAACACGAATTAAAATGCAAAGGGATGCTACTTTGTTTATTTTACCACACCTGCCTTCTGTTTTTCAGATTTGAATTAAAACGCACCTGAATGCGTTTTACAGGGAAAGTCAAACGTTGTAGGGACAGTTACCCAAATGACTGTGAAACTGTTTTTTATTCAGATCACCAAATGGATTTGTGTTTGTGACTTTAGTAACTCAGGTGAATTATTAATGCAGCATCCATTACCCCAGATAAGCGGACAAAAATGGATGGATGGACGTTTTTGTCCGCTTATCGGGGGTCAGGTCACAGGGGCAGCAGCCTAAGCACAAAGGCCCAGACTTCCCTCTCCCCAGCCTCTTAGGCCATCTCCTCCGGGGGGATCCGAAGGTGTTCCATGTCCAGCTGAGAGACGTAGTCCCTCCAGTGTGTCCTGGGCCTCCCTTTAGGCCTCCTCTCAGTTGGACGTGCCTGGTAAACCTCTCCAGGAGGCATCCTGACCAGATGCCCGAGCCACCTCAACTGGCTCCTCTTGATGTGGAGGAGCAGCGGGTCTACTGGGAGCCCCTCCTGGCTGACTGAGCTTCTCACCCTATCTCAAAGGGAGAGCCCAGCCACCCGTTTTAATGTACATTTGTAGAAAATCTATGAAGAGGCTTAAGCACAGCCTCCTTCAATCTACCATCCTGTTCAGGAAAGTTTTTTACTGCTGCATCGCCTCACAGATTTTTCCTCTTTTGTTTTTTTTAGGGTTGCAAACTCTCTCCGTCGTGTGTTCATGTCAGAAGTTCCTACAATAGGTAATCGTTTGATTCCCCTGCAAGCTGTAATTCAGATTAAGCTGTCTTTTTTTTAAGTCTGGTTTGGAAAAAATCCTAATTTTCTGGTTCAAGTCAGGTTTAGTTTGGTATCCCAAGTTTTCGCCTACAGGCCCTAAAAGCTAGGTTTGGGTATTTTGTGTCTGCGTTACTGAAACGACTAACCCAAGCTTATTCCCAGCGATCGATTGGATCCAGATTGATGCTAACTCGTCGGTGCTGCACGATGAGTTTGTCGCACACAGAGTTGGTTTGTATCATGAACTCATTTTGCTGATTGCAGTGTTGCATAAGCAGGATGTAACATTTCTGTGTTTGTTTGTTTCAGGCCTCATTCCTCTCACCAGCGATGACATAGTGGATAAAATGCAATATTCAAGGGTGAGTGTGGCGTTTCAGCACAAACGGCTGATTATGTTCGTATTCAAAGCTTCTCAGCAGGTCGAAGACCAAAGTGTTATAACGGAGTCTTTTCTTGTTTCCGCTGTAGACTAACGTCGTTTCAGAGCTGTGTGATATTAAGTTCCTGTTGCAGTTATTGTGGATAAAGTTAACAGACGTATGGGAATAAATGATCAGAGTGGTTATTAGGGCTGCAACAACGAATCGATAAATTCGATGAAAATCGATTACTAAAAGCGTTGGCAACGAATTGCGTCATCGATTCGTTGTGTCGCACAACTCTTCCAAAAGCGCCCCCCCTTCCCGCCCGCCATTGCGCGCAGACCAGAGCAAGTCAGATCAGCGCGAGGGAGAGTCGATCAGCGCGAGGGAGAGCCGCAGATCAGCGCGAGGGAGAGCCGGCAGACTTACGCTGCTGCGAACCGGTTCCGCATTGTTGTGCAGCGATCCAGGCAGCTGCTTCCAGCGCACGGTCCATTCTCAAAGTGGTTCAACCAAAAAACTATAATTAGCACAGATCGTTCATGTCCGCACATGTTCTCTATTTTGTCTTATTTGTGCCTGAAGCGCGCTACTGCGGAGCTCATCACCTGTGCTGTGGTGATGTCACCTCACGCAGCATCGAAAACGCGCTCTCCGCTGTGTGGTCAGGAGATCCCTTTGATCTCCTCAAAAGTAACTGATGAGGTGAAAAGGTAAGAATCCAGGCAACAGATTTTCTGGAGAATTAAGAGGAGATGCAGGAAGATGAGAGACAGACAGGACAGGAAAATAGTTAAATAAAAACAAGAAAACAAAACAAAGTGTTGAAAAGTAAAATGTAGGTAGATTTATCTCCACGACACGTTTTTACCTGTAAAAAACAACAAGTTACACACATGTCATATTTATACATCTGATGCAATTCAGAGCACCTTCAAAACTCAGTCACACACCCAGGGCCGTTTCAAGACATTTTGGGGGCCAAAGCAAAATGCCCCCCCCCCCCCATAACTGGGCTCCCCAGAAGCCTCTGTGTAATTCATACCCTCTCCAGTAGTGTTAGTTATACGGTGTTTATAAAAGCCCCTCAGACATGACTGACATGTTCTAATATTATCAGATGAAAAACTAAATTATCAGACATGCTGTCTCATCTGCTGCTTTTCTAAACTTTTTAAAAGTAACAAAACCATTTGAAAGCCACTATTTGTGGATTCTCTGGAAGTTTCCATGGAGTGTGTGACAACTTATTTTTTCATTGATCCTATCGTCTAATCTCACAGCTGAAACAAGCATCCTTAATAATCTGTGCACAGGAAGCTTACCGATGCTGTAGTAAAACAAAAGGTAGTTTCTTATTAATAAAACCTTGTTGCAGCACTAAAGCAGAAAAATTAGATTTTGCATTAAATATGCAAAATATTTACATATGAATTGTTTTAGAGCCCTTTAATTGGCAGAATCTGATATTAATTTAGTTCTTACAAAAAATGGGTCCCAACATGGTTTGTGTGGCGTTGCCATAGTGTGACGTCATAGGCACAGATCCCCTGTCCTCTTGTTTGGAAATGGAAATATGATCACCCTACATTAAACAAACTGTCCACCCGGGCTTTTGCACTGCACAGAGACGCTTCGCTGCCTACGACTGAACGTCAGTTGAGAGTCAGTCTCATGCAGACTGACCAATGAAGAGAGGGCCTCAAGTTAAGACCCTCTCCTCATTGGTCAGTCCACACGAGGTGGGTCAAAGGTTACTCTGGGCGGGTTACGTGATGTCAGGCATTCAAGTATTGAGTATATTTACTGCATATTACAGTAAAATATTCTGTATGTGACCACATTATGGTGATCCTTGGGTCGTGATGATGGAGCCCTTGAATATTGTTGCCCAGGGTACAACAAAGTGTTAATCTGGCCCTGGTTCCGCCGTCACATTCCCGCAGAAACTGGTTGATCACACCGGGGCCAGACTACTAGCATGTGGTTTTACAACCACAATGTCCTCAGAAGCAAAAACGCTTTTAAAAGGGGGGGAGGAGTCCTAACTGTTGCTGCAGGCGTGTTGTGTGAGAGTGCAGTTATATACTGGTTAATATATTTTTGGGTTCAGTTGCTTTCATGTGGCCTAATGTGAGTCTATTTGGGATCATTGGAATGATCAGCAGCATTTCTTGATGTGACTTTATGGCAGTTGCCCAGGGCATCATCGCAAGGAGGATGGCATTCATTTACTTTTGTTTTATTTGGTATTTTTTCAGTCATTTTTGGAAATAGTGATCAATTTTGATTAATTCACAGCCTATGTTTAATTACATTTAAAATAAATGTCAACAGATGAGATCAAACAAAACACATGAGAATTGCCCTTAAGCTGTTTAACTTGGACCAAGCATTTTAGGTCACAGATAGATGTAGCTTAGGGTCTCTGTCTATACACCTTATAAGACAATTTAGGTGATGGCATGTTGTTTTTCTGCTATTGAACTGTTTTCTAATAATGTTGTGTTAAATAAAGTGAAGGAAGGAGAGAAATAACGTTTCCCTAGCAGTTTTAAAAATTTCCCCATGTAATCCGATTAATCGATTAATCGTGTCGAGACCCCATCCGATTAATCGATTATCCAAATAATCGTTTGTTGCAGCCCTAGTGGTTATTGTTGGTGTCAGCATCATTGTCCCACGTGTCCGCTCCTCCTGCAGGACTGTACCTGTGAAGATTTCTGTCCTGAGTGCTCCGTGGAGCTGACCCTGGATGTTCGGTGCACGGAAGATCAGACGCGTCACGTCACCTCGCGTGACCTGTTGTCCAACAATCCCAGAGTCATCCCGGTGAGTGTGCAGTCTCTGGAGTTGCATCACAGAGCAGAACACAAAGCTTAACGTTCTCTTGTGGGTTTCTAGGTGACTTCTAGGAGCCGAGACAATGATCCAAATGACTACGTTGAGCGAGAGGGCGAGTTTCTCTTTAAAATACTTGTGGAACAATTTCATTGTGTTCTTCCACACTTTGCTTATCTACATTTTCTGTTTGTGTCGTTTACCAACACGACAGACATTTTGTTGGTAAAGCTTCGTAAAGGTCAGGAGCTTCGGCTCAGAGCGTACGCAAAGAAAGGTTTTGGTAAGGAGCACGCCAAGTGGAACCCAACCGCGGGGGTGTCCTTTGAGTACGACCCGGACAACGCACTGAGACACACGGTCTATCCACGACCTGAGGAGTGGTACGTCTTCATTTCACCATAAATCTTGTAAATTATAATGCTGAACAGCAACAGAATGGTGTGTTTTATCTCAGGCCAAAGAGTGAATACTCTGAGATCGAGGAGGATGAAGTTCAGGCTCCCTACGACCCAAACGGAAAGCCAGAAAGGTAAATAAACTTCTATTATAGGATAATTTTAATGATGTTTCCTGTTAAGAAGTTCTGCGTGTTCTTGGTTCAGCTCAGGAATCGTTTTTACTTTAAAAAAAAAACACAAAACTGAGATGTTCTGAAAAGGAAAACTTGGGATTTTTGCTCCATCCAGGTTCTATTTCAACGTGGAGTCGTGCGGTTCTCTTCGACCAGAGACCATCGTCATGTCGGCGTTGGCGGTCCTCAAGAAGAAGCTGAGTGACCTGCAAACGCAGCTGAGCCACGAGATCCAGAGTGACGTTCTCACCATCAACTAACTAAGCAGAACCTGGATTCACACTGGCTAGGGGGGTTCTGAGATTAATACAAAATATTTAGTTGGATTAAGAATAAAACTTCAAACTGTCAGATAATTATTTTTTGTTTAATGACTGTTTTTAAATAAATCCTTTTTTAAATGTGTGTCTCTTTACTAGTGTTTGTTTTATTTTGAAGACCAGCTGTTGGAAGTTTGAAGTGACCTGAAGAAACTTTGTGCTTCAAAGATAAAAGAAAAACAAGAAAACTAAATCCAGGGTATCTGCAGGGAGCCAAATTTAGGGGCTGCATGGTGGAGCAGTGGTTAGCACTGTTGCCTCGCAGCACGAAGGTTGCAGGTTCGAAACTCGGCTGCGGCCTTTCTGCGTGGATTTGCGTGTTCTCCACATGCATGCGTGGGTTTCCTCCGGGTACTCCGGTTTCTCCCACGGATATCAACATGCCCTATAGGTTATAAACTAAGTCGCTTTGGATAAAAGCGTTTGCCAAATAAACATAAATTTAAGACTTTTTAAGACCTTTTTTGAGGCCACTTTGACCAAATTTAACCTATTTTTAAAATTAAATTTAAGCTATAATTTCCACCTATTGCCTGGAAACTGCTAACCACGTCGTGAACGTGGGATTAGCCATCCAGTTAGCATTAAACTTGCACTTCCCCATGGCCCAAACTCCCACTAGCTTAACCAGCTAATGTACTCATCTAAAAATAGCCCCCTTTCACAACCAACTGCATGTGTACGGTTCTGCTTACGCCAATATCACACACAAAAAATGCTGAACACTAACTAGAAATTCACTAAATTTGATAGAAATAAAAGAATCTTTTATTGAGCCTTTGGTAATTTAAGACCTCTGGAAACGGTATTTAAGGATTATTGGTCATTTTTAAGGCCTTAAATTTGGAAAAGCAAATTTAAGACTTTTTAAGGACCCACAGATACCCTGTTAATCTCTAAATAATGACAGCAGTATGAAAATCGAGCTATTTGTAATATTCTATTTAATTTGATATTTTTTGTAATTAGAATTTTAATCCTCCAATGAAAACAAAAAATGATTTCAGATTATGTTTAATTGTAATTGGTAATCTGATTTGATTGATGGCCACATACTCTGTTAAAAAGGGATTGAATGTATTATTTAAGTCAGCTAGATGCAACTGACTAGCGCTTCATCATCATCATCACAACATCACCCCGCTTCTCCTCCAGCTTCACTGGCTGCCAGTCAACCCCAGGGTTCATTTCAAGATCCTGGTTCTGGTCTATGGGGCCTTACATGGACAAGCACCATCTTATGGGCCATTCCCATCTGTACTGGGTCGGCCCGGGCTGGGTAGCCCCAGTCGGCCCCAGCCTGGCCTGGTTGATTCCACACATCCTTGCCTTAAGCCCATGTGGGCTGATTCTACCCACCAATCAGAGGCTTGCTCTAATGGAAGGTGTGAATTTGCTGTCAGCAGTGGGTGTGTTGGTCCTGGTCGGCCTGAAGCAGACTCCCTCGAGAAGAGGGCTGAGAATGAGCCTTGGTTGGCCCGGAAAAATACCAGGCCACCCAGATATGTAAACAACCTACGCTACCCGGCCCGGGCCGACCCGGTACAGATGGGAATGGCCCATTACATTGGTGATCTTAGTCCCTACACCCCCAGCAGGTCCCTGAGGTCCAGTGATCAAAGCCTACTGGTTGTGCAGCACCAGGCTAAAGGTCAAAGGTGACAGATCATTTGCTGCTGTGGCCCCCAGACTCTGGACCTCTCTCCCCCTGAGCCTGAGATCAGTGGACTCAGTGGTCTCCTTTAAAAAGCAGCTGAAGACTCACTTGTTCAAGCTGGCTTTTGTATGACCTTCTTCACCTCTCTCTCTTTATTCTGCTCTCCCACCTATTCCACCTTCCTCAGGATCCACTGATTTCCTATTCACTCTCTCTTTCTTAACATTTTTTAATCACAATTGTCTATTTTTTTGCTCATTTTAAATGTATTTGTAACCATTTTATAAATGCTTTTTTATATTTTTACATTTTTTGTTTTTGTGAAGCGCCTCCTTCACGTAAATTCCTTCCAAACAAAGCTTAAAAACTTTATAAGGCTTTTAAGTGACTGTTAACTATAGTTAGTCTGGGTAACGTGAAAGCCAGAACTTCTTTACGTGTATGAACTATCAGCTCCAAAAACTCAAATCTATTCTAATTAAAGTTAAGAAATATTGAATGAACCATCTAGCTAAAGCAGGAGCTATCAGCAGCTAGCTACAGTGCTAGAAATCTTGCGCCCTCTGATGGCCACAAATCAGAACTACATATACTGTAGGGTATTTTAAAAGTTAATTTGAAATTAATATATTTTGTTACAAATTTTAACCAGCATAATTTTTGTAAATTCTAATCAAACATGTAAGATATAAAACTGTTAGTTATTAGTTCGAGACTAACAAATACTCAACTACATCTAACAAGCACTTACACATTCTTTTTAAAGCTACACATTTTAAAAACAGGATCAAATATCTTTAGATTTTACAATAATTTTATCGGCTACTCATACACAATAAAAACAAAAAACAACAACATATATGTTGTTCTTTTTACCGCTTGTTTTTGCCTAAGTAAACTTAATTTATTTACTTGTAATCGGTTATTTGAATTGATTGATGGCCGCCTCTGTCTGGGATTTATATTTGTTATTTAGGTCTGTTTTGCTAGAACAAGGGTTTTTTGCACCCTCTAGTACATTTAAACCGTTACTGCTTTTGTCAAGCTAAATAAGATACTATGGACCAGCACTTCCTGTAGTTTCCTTCTAAATAAAACATGGGACTTAAAGCTTTCTGCGGCTTTTTAAAAACCAGTTAACAGAAAAGTCAGAACGTCTTCACGTATGCAAACTACTTTACTCCTAATTCTCAATACATTTTATTTATTATGTAATTGTCAGCCTTGAAAAAGATTACAAGATACAACAATTTCCAGTTATTCATTCAAAATTAAACAATTCGAAAGTTACACTTTTTGTAAATTATTTATAAATAAAACGCCATGTTAGCTTTAAGGTTAGGGTACGGGTACACCCTTAAAACATAATTAAAACTTTATTTCTTAAATACTAAACACAACGTTAGCCAGCTAGCTTCAACGCTACTCACTCACACACTTTTTTTCAAAACTTTATTGACAAGGTGAAAGTATACAATCAAATTGCTCCTCACTCACACACATTATTATTAACGAGGAGAGAAAATAGCGCCCTCCGGTGGAGAAATCCTGCAACTACCCTTTTCAAATGTTTGATTTTTCTCAATTTCTTGTCGTACATTTTATTCAAAATTAATGAACACTGTGCTTTTTTATAGCAAAACTACTTACAGTATTAATTTTGCCTCTGAAATTTTACATTTGTATTTACCTTAATATCACTCTATTTCTCTCTTATACAATTAATTCTATGCATTGGCAGACCTTTTAGGGCTTTTATTTTGAAATTCTTAATGAATGGTGTTGCGTCTTCAACAAAAACGTCAAGATGAAAATCTGCACGCTCATTCTCGGATGTCGGATCAGCTGATCGTTTATTTACCAGCAACTGTGCTGTGAACTACAGTGATGTCGACCAGCTAAAGAAGCTGCGGCTGCTGCAGGAGGTAAATGCTAGAGAAGGTCAAGCCGAACCTCGTTCACATTTCTCGACATTTAAAGTTTCCCGTCCTCGCAGCACGTGTTACTTTTTACAAACAAACGTTACAGCATGAGAACTGAAATATCTGGAGGAATTGTTCAATTCGGATTAACTTCTGTGAAAGAAACTATAATATTTAGACATATTTTACAAGCCCAAATGACCACTACCGAAACGAAATTTAATATCTCTCTTAAGCATATTGTGAACGTTAAACTTATCCGGATGGAAATTCACGCTAAAACTGACGTTTTGTTTTACACGTTACAACCCTCGACATTAATATACAAACACAGTCATTATGAGTCTCTGAACATCTTTTTCTTTAAGAGGATCACGAGTTGAATCCGGTTGAATTCGTACGCTGTTTTAATTAATTAAGTTTCACATCCTGCAATCTATTAAATTTATTTTTAATTATTTTAGTATATATATATATATATATATATATATATATATATATATATATATATATATATATATATATATAAATTCTATGCATTGGCAGACCTTTTAGGGCTTTTATTTTGAAATTCTTAATGAATAGTGTTGTGTCTTCAACAAAACGACAAGATGAAGGTCTGCACCCTCAAAATTTATATATATATATATATATATATATATATATATATATATATATATATATATATATATATATATATATATATATATATATTCTATGCATTGGCAGACCTTTTAGGGCTTTTATTTTGAAATTCTTAATGAATAGTGTTGTGTCTTCAACAAAACGACAAGATGAAGGTCTGCACCCTCAAAATTTATATATATATATATATATATATATATATATATATATATATATATAATTATTATACAATAAAACAAGCCTGAAAAAGACACATGCCTTCAGTGTATTTCGGCTTATATAAACATTGATTATTAATTTCTGTACTTAGACCTCTCTGTCTGGTACCTTCTCTGTCAGAAACGCAAATGGCTGTGATGAGGAAGAGGTTTGTTTCCTCCTCAGCTGGGGAAGAGGATACGAACCTCTGGGAGAATCCTCATACTTCTGAATCTGACCAGCCCAGTGAGGAACACCCTTATGCATCTCTGCTGTGGTAAGCTGTCTCTGCAACCTGCGGGCAGATTCGAGTCTCCCCAGGTGGACATCAGTTTTGTATTCACATTTGACATTTGTTCACATGAAAATGTTACTGTGCAGCTGTCACAACATCCAGGACTCGCTGCTGAGCTCCAACAGTAACTTCACAGGATACAGAGGCATCCTCAACTGGATTATCATTTTGCTCGTCAGTTTCTCATCACTTTCTTCTGTTTATCTTAAATAAAATTTATTAAAATGTGCTTTTGTTTAACCCTCAGCTGTTTTTGTCTTCCAGGTCCTGACTCATGCCCACCTGTTCTTAGAGAACTTCATACAGTGAGTGTAAACCAACCAGGGATTCTCTTGAGGACCAGGACTGGCTACCGCTGGACTACATCAAGGGAAAGCAGTCCTGGTTCTCGGGTGCTGCTATCCAGCAAATTCTAGTTGTTTTCCTGCTCCAACACACCTGTTTTTAATCAGTAGGTGATTTACGGGATTCTGTAGAAAGTCTGGTGGACAGGTGATTTAATCATTGCATTAGAATGTATTGGAGCAGGGAAACGACTAAAACATTCTGGGTAGCGGAACTCGAGGACCAGGGTTGGCTGACCTTGATCTAAACAGATATTGACATTGACATATATCTTCTTTCATTGTGATTTCAGAACTACGTTGATCATTGCTCTGATTGGTCCTAGCATGGTCCAATAGCACACAGGCATTCTGCTCCTTGACCAAGCGCTGTCTATGGGCTGTAGCTAGACTATATATTTACCTGCATAAGGTGGCTTACTCTGGTTTATTCCGGTAACAGTACAACCTCACAGAAGCAAAATGCTAGGATCACGATGTACCACTAGATAAAACGATATACACCAAGTATCTGCTGTGGCGTCCCAATAAATCACAACAGGCAGGGAAATGTCCACTTTGCTGCCTGTAGTGACATCTAGAGGTGGAAGTTGTTATTGCAGCCAGTTGCATGAACATATTTTTTAGTGATGGGATTTATGGCTCATTCGTGAGAGAAGTTCATTAGTCGGTCGTTTACCTCAAACAAAGACTGGCTCCTTGTTTGGGGGGGGGGGCATTAGAGCAACGAGTTCCTGCGGTGTCCGTGAGGGCACACGGGGTTGGTTAGGGTTCCTCCTACGTCCGTCACAGCGGTGGGTGGGGTTTGAGTGGTTGAGCTTGTCCGACTTCCGGGGAGGTTTGTTACCGGGAGACGAGATGAACGGCTCTCTACAGGGACTCGGCTCTCAATGTTCACTTTGAAAACCCGTTCGAAAGATTCGATTCGTTCGTGAACGTCACATCACTAATATTTTTCCTCATTTGCTTTAAAACGGTCCAAATGCCTGTTTTCCATCATATGATTTGAAACTATTTTATCCTGCTTTTGACCCTAAATGCTTTTCTGTGTAAATGACCCCCCCCCCGACACCCCCCCCCACCCCACCCACCACCACCACCACCACCACCACCCCCATTACAGACATGGCTTCCTAATAGATGTGAGAAAGGTGTTGGGTCATCTGATTGAAGACAGCTGCAACTGGCCATCGGTCAACCTCCTTCTGGGTAAGAAACTCATCTAACCTGCAGGAAATCTGAACAAACTTATAATGAAAAATAATTCCAAACACTATTTTTAGGAAGGTCGTGTGTTTGCAAAAAAATTGAAAGGTGTTGTTCTCTCATTTGGTCAATACATTTGCAGTAGAAGGAATGAATGGCTACCTACTCTGGGTACAAGAAGCCCTGATGCGGCTGTTTCAGGATCTAGAAGACTGCCAGATCAGAGGAGAGTTTCAGACAGCAGGGTTTGGAGTCTTTCTTCCTGATTTTTGAACATCTCTCAAAATGCTAATGCTAACAGTTCCTCCCCAATGGTCTCATTCCGCCGCAACCTCCGCAATCTGGCACCCAACCACTTCTCCTCTCTTGTTGCCTCCACTCTTCCATCTCCCAGCACATTCTCTGCTTATGAAGTGAATGAAGCCACCGAGTCACTCTGCTCCACACTCTGCTCTTGTCTTAACAACTTGTGCCCTTTAGCCACTAGACCTGCTAGATCCTCACAGTCGCTAAATGATAAGCTCCGGTCTCTATGCACCAAACTTAGAGCTGCGGAACGGAAATGGCGCGAAACAAAAGATCCTGGGGATCAACTGAAATCTCATGAATTACTGTCCTCATTCTCTGCCAGCATCACTGATGCAAAGAAAGCTTTCTACACTGACAAAATTCTCAGCTCTACTGACTCTCAGAAACTATTTTTGACATTCAAAACTCTGCTCACCCCTCCATCTCCACCTCCTACCAACAATCTATCAGCTGCAGTGGCGGATCTAGGATTTTTCTGAGGGTGGGGCCATCAAGGGGCCACAATATTTATAGAGGGGGCCACGTACAGTCCAACATACTTGCATACTATTCCCAGTGTTGAATGGTAGATACAGTTTACCACCCAAACCATGTTGAAAAACATCAATGCAGTTGAACATCAATTTTTACTGTACATAGACAAAATACAACCACACAGCATTTGAGAAATTTTAGCATTCAATTTATTTTGCAAAGCCACAAATATCAGGTTAAAATATGTTTGTGAGTGGGAAAAAACACCAGAAGAATATCACAGGACCCTCTGCTCTTGACTGGGAAATGTCTGGTGGGAAGTAAATTAAATAAGTCTGAGTCATTGCTTATATCTCTCAACCTTTAACATTCATGGCATTCAGAATCTGCAAGTGACTGACTGCAAAATTCAATTAAATTTAAAGAGCCTTTACAAGCATATCACCAGGTCCTACTGGAACAGAACACCGTTCTGATGTCTGCGCAGGACTCTGTGCATCACACTGGAAGATGTCTGAAAACAGCAAATGAAAAATTACCTAACATAAGCCGAATACATACACAAGCATTTATTACTTTCTAAGATCAATGTTTACCATTTGATCCTGCAGGATTAGCAGTGATTGGTGACTCAGGTGGCCCAGCAGGATGGAAGGTTAAGTCATTAACTTCACTCTGGTTGTCCGAATTGGAGAGAGTCTTGTCCCAGTTTGCAGCTAAAACCCAAATATAGGTCAAACTCCAGCTAAATCCAGCCAAAACTTTGTTTTCTATGAGAACACATTTTTATTTATTTGAAATTGAAGACTTGAAAGATCGGACTATAAAGATGAGTTGTGGTAGATGTAGACAAAGAAACCAATACAATTTAAATCCATTATGTTAATGTTATAGTAAATCACATCACCATGAAGCAGAAGAATTCAGTAAACACATGTGCCATTAGTACAGAAGAACAACATCATTTAACAATTTTGAGATAATGGTGATTTTTTTATTTTTACCTAGAATAACGGCAGGAAAAATTGGACTAACAAAGGAATATCCAAAACACAAAATCTCTTTGGAAAACTTCACCTTGACCTTACTTAATCAACCAATTACAAAATTCAGTGCTTCAAACAAGGACTTTTCCCACAAATTTTACAATACATCAAAATGTCACAATTTAGGGAAACCTTGAAGGAATTGTGGGAAAGGAAACTTAACTGCAACATTACTGATGATGAATGGAAAGATGCTTTGAGAAACGTAAAATCATTTACTAAAGGGAAGCAATTTTGCCACTAATGATTTGTCACAATTAACAACTTCTATCAATTTAAACAATAATCCTTTATTTTTGGTACTTGGAATAACTGACCCAGTTATTACTGATAAATATAAAAAGCTCAATGCAAATTTTCTGTGCAAGAAAATGACTCCACATCAGTTGGATCAGCTCCAAGATAAAATGGGAAAAGGTTATCCTCAATTATAAGCAGAAGTATTGGGCAGCATTAGGTCGTTTATAAGTGGTCAGACGTCCTGCTGGATAATGTGGTGCAATCATGATCTTTTACAAAAGATTACGCGATGGCGGTGAAAAGGGGGCTTGGGGGCGCTCTCTGCGCTGCCACGGACTTCAGTTTATCTTGGACATAACTTGCTTTTTATTGCGATCAAAGCCACACTCAGTAAGCTTTTTTAACAAGCCGCTCCAGAAGGTGTCTGGTGATATATCAAACTTTTTCTATATCGGCCAGCGGCCCAAATTATTTTTAAAAGCTGATTTAAAAAATACTAAAAATCAGGCACCTGTGTGGCCAACTGCCGCCACTTCCAGACTGAAAAAGAACCTGAAGGACCCCAACACACTGTTTTTTTTAATGTTTTGAGTTTGTTTTATATTCGGAGTTCATTAAATATTAAGAGATTTATTGACTTATTTAATTTATATTGCACACAGTGAGTATTGTTATCTTTCACAATCAATGTGCTGCTAAAACCGATATATATATATATATATATATATATATATATATATATATATATATATATATATATAAATATGTCAGCCTTAATTGGCTTTAGATATCGGCCTTCAGCAAAAAAATTTCTTTAAAATTGGTATCGGCATCGGCCTTAGAAAAAAAACATATCAGTTGGCCTCTAGTTTTTATCAACATCATTGGCATTGTCGATTCTGTCTATCGATTCAATTCCAGAGTAGTTCAATAGGTGGCAAAAATCTAATAGCACACGGCCTCCAGCAATACAACTGTTGGTTTATTTGTGATAAATAATCAGTTGTCCCTGTATCGGTTTGAAAGACCTTTCCAGATGTTCTCCTTCATGCTCCCTGTGAAGGCAGAGTCATCTTCTTGATTGTTGCGGTGTTGCTGTAGTTAATGCAGAGTGGGAAAAATCTCCCCACAGATCGGACTTTAGTCGCTGGAGTCTGCTAGTGTGGAGGTGTGTATATAAGGTAAATGACGCTAACATGCTAGGCAGTGTTAGCTGATTAGATACCTACAGTAGTAACAGGAGAGGATGTGCGAACGTCACCACCGCCGCTACTGGTGCGTTGAAATTCACTAGTCCTGAGTGGGACAAAACACGTCATTAACTTGACGTTGTTGCGTATTTTGTGCCCAAATGTTTTTTCCTTCCCTTGATGAAATGCCTTCTATGCAGGCAGTGGCGGTTCTACATCAAATTACTCCCCGGGCGAGGCCCCCTTTGAGCGCCCCCCCCAACCGCCCCCCCCCCACCACCACCACACCACCCCACCTGCATGAACACACGCATGTTTTCTACAAACAGGCATGTTTTATTAGAAGGACTATTGAACATTCATTTTCTAAGTTGCACATATTTACATTAATTACTATGAAGTTGTCAGAATGTAAAGCAATATACATTATATACTGTATCAAAATATATAGAATCAAATATACAAAAACAAACAATAACTAAATATTAAGAATATATGAACATAATTTATAATAAATATTCTAAATAGCAAAAATATTTCACACATAACAAACTAAAGATAATCACTACAGCATTGCACTTAGAATAGAAAACACAAACTAAAATTAAAACCTAACCTTGATGCAACATCATCAATAATGTCATCACATGAAATCTGCTCCCCTACTGAGTGATTGATACTAATCAGAGCCAGGTTAGTGAGCCGCCCCTGAAACATAGCTGACCTCAGGTATGACTTGATCAAGTTTTGAAAAGCTCCTCTCAGCTTGAGCCACAGTGACTGGCAGAGCAGTCCAAAAGTTGGGGTAGATGTCCAATAGATCTCATGATCCATAATATTTTAGAATTGCCTCTGAAATTGTAATTTAAACTGACATAAAAAACTGTAGACTACCAAAAATGCCAACTTTTACAGAACAAATCATGTAAAAAAATAATCAGTGCAGCCATCTGCAATAAATAAACAGGATAGTTAGTGGTGACTGGGGAGTTTTCTTCTGCTTGTACAGTTGTTTTATTTATTATTATGTGAACTTGATCAACATGTGTTTGTTGTTGTTCAGGCAGGCCACAGGCTGCAGCGAGCATTTAACAAATCCTAGTTTGAATCAGTAAAAAACGATTCAAGGACTTTTTTCAAAGCATTTGAATATTCGTTTAAATATTTCAGCCCTATTAGCTCTGTTAGCAATTAGTTGACCGCATTTAACCGTTAAAATCCCAGTTAACTGGTTCAAAAAATTGAAAACATGCATCATGAGAGCTACATACCTTTATCTTTCTGCTCTTTTTTCTTTTTTTCCCCCTGAATGGGGGCACCTGGTGGTTTTAGCCTTTTTATGTTCATCTCTTCTGTTTGGCTCCTGACTCAGTAAGTTTCCTTTAGTCAGGACTAAACTATTTGACCTTGATGGGGTGGGGGGTGGGGGGTGGGGGGGTGACCACAAAATCGTTTTGTTTTTCCTTTTTTTATTCGGCCATTTCACACAATTCAGAGAAACCTGAAAGAATGATAGGCTTGTGTTTATGATATTATGAATGAAATATGGAAGAACGTTAAGATGTGATTGACCTTAGCCATGTTAATACAGTTGATTCAGCCCCTGCACGCTCATTTCATTTGGGAAAGACGCAGAGGTGAATTCCCCCGCCGCACCCCTCCCCTTCCTGTTCTTCATAGACACACGGTACACGTGAACGTTCTCAGTCAGCAGGAGCGCCTGCAACTGCAGGGGGCGCCAACTTGCTGTTTCCAATCCAGACACTGTCATATGACAGATAATAGAAAACCTCGGTGCGGCGCAGATTTCCCTTTTTTTTTACTCCGCGCTTGTGCGCCCCTTTTGTGTCATGAAAAAATGCCGCCCCGGGCAACTGCCCTGTCTGCCCGTGCCTAAAACCGCTACTGTATGCAGGTATTAACCAAACTAGTTAACTCTATGAAGACCTCTGCATGCCCCCTCCACATCTTACCCTCATCTTTGTTTAAAAGTGCTTTTCAGTCCATCGGTCCCAGCGTGCTCGCTATAATTAATGCTTCTCTGGTCTCTGGTCAGGTCCCTGCTTACTTTAAGAATGCTGTAATCCACCCGCTTCTTAAAAAAAACGAGTCTCGACCCCTCTCTCCATAGCAGCTTCAGACCCATCTCTAAACTTCCATTCATCTCCAAGATCTTGGAAAAGGTTGTGGCTAAACAACTCACAGCTGCTCTTGATGAACATAACATCTATGATAGCTTCCAGTCAGGTTTTCGTAGAGCTCATTCTACTGAAACAGCTCTTCTTAGGGTCTCTAATGATCTTCTGACTCACAGTGATGCAGGGGACTGTTCTGTTCTGGTCCTGCTGGACCTGACTGCAGCCTTTGACACTGTTGACCATCACCTGCTACTGGAGAGGCTCAGAGACTGGGTAGGCCTATCAGGATCTGCTCTGGAGTGGTTCTCCTCTTATCTGAGTGCTCATTTTCTGTGGCCGTCTCCAAGTTTAGGTCCTCCACCACCTCTCTTACCCATGGTGTCCCACAAGGTTCTGTGCTGGGGCCTCTGCTCTTCCTCCTCTATCTGCTTCCTCTTCAGCACATCCTGAGCTCCTTCAAAGGAATCTCCTACCATCTTTATGCAGATGACATCCAACTGTACATCTCCTTTAAGCCCCATGAGATGTCTAAGCTGCAGCTGTTACACACCTGCTTAGACTCTATCAGAACCTGGATGGTGGGAGCTTTCTTCAGCTGAATGAAGATAAGACTGAGATCCTCATCTGTGCCCCAGACAAGCTGGTTCCCAAAGTCAGAGACTCTCTTGGTCAGCTTGCTTCTCACACCAAACCTTCTGTCAGGAATCTTGGTGTGACCTTTGACCCAGCTCTCACCCTGGACTCTCATGTCAGTTCTCTTGTTCGCTCTTCCTTCTTCCATCTCAGGAACGTTGCTAAGCTGAGTCCCATTCTGTCCCGCTCTGAACTTGAGACAGTTCTCCACACCTTCATCTCCTCACGCTTAGACTACTGTAACTCTCTTTTCACGTGTCTGAGCAGAACCTCCCTGAACCGTCTACAGGTGGTTCAGAACGCCTGTGCTCGGCTTCTGACCAAGTCCTCCAAACACACCCACATCACCCCGCTTCTCCTCCAGCTTCACTGGCTGCCAGTCAACTTCAGGGTTCATTTCAAGATCCTGGTTCTGGTCTATAGGGCCTTACATGGACAAGCACCATCTTACATTGGTGATCTTCTTAGTCCCTACACCCCCAGCAGGTCCCTGAGGTCCAGTGATCAAAGCCTACTGGTTGTGCAGCACCAGGCTAAAGGTCAAAGGTGACAGATCATCTGCTGCTGTGGCCCCCAGACTCTGGACCTCTCTCCCCCTGAGCCTGAGATCAGTGGACTCAGTGGTCTCCTTTAAAAAGCAGCTGAAGACTCACCTGTTCAAGCTGGCTTTTGTATGACCTTCTTCACCTCTCTCTCTTTATTCTGCTCTCCCCACCTATTCCACCTTCCTCAGGATCCACTGGTTTCCCTCTTTCCTGTTCACTCTCTCTCTCTCTTAACATTTTTTCTTTTAAATCCCAATTGCCTATTTTTGCTGATTTTAAATATATTTTTTAACATTTTCTAAATGCTTATTTATATTTTTACAATTTTTTTGTTTTGTTTTTGTGAAGCGCCTCGTGATTTTTATCTTGAGAGGCGCTATAGAAATGATATTTTCTTCTTCTTCTATTGCAAGTTACTCTGTTGTTATCCTTTCTTGTAAAGTATTTGAGCGTTTGTGCCGCTGACGCCATGTCTCCTGCTTCCGTAAGCTGTGCAAAGTGTGTGGTGACGTCATTCGCACCAACTGGGGGTGCTTATATAGTGCGAACGAGTCCTAGGAATTGAAAGAATGGGAACTGGTTCTTTTTGAGAAACAGTTCCCAACCCTAGTTGTGAGTCCAGATGGGTGAGTCCATGAATGCTAGTGACAGTGTGAGATAGATGTGTCAGAATTCTCTAATCCTGGAGTTTCACCGTCTGTTTTCTATGAGAAGCTACTGCAGGAGATAGGTGTAGGAGACTGTCTTCATGTTCAGCCTGCATGAAACACTCAGTGACCCGTTATTATAAAAAAGGATCATTAAAATTTTAAACATTTAAATTTCACTCAAAAGTGGGTTTGTACATCTGGGAATGGTGTTGGATTGTTTTAGACGGTATTTAGGTGTTCTTATTTGTTTCTTCCAGCTGCCAACCTGTTTGCTTTGTTAGCTCTCTACTTGGAGAAGACTCAAGAAAAGGTTGGACTTTCTTCTTTTTTAGGTGTAAAAATTGTGCTACTTTTTAAAAGTGAGGAACTGATTTCCCAGCTTCAAATACAAATAGTCGTTTCTTCCAGGGGGTGCTGTCTTCCACCACCAGCCATCGTTTACATCTCATAAATCTGGGGCTTCTTCTACTGCTTCCTGCTGTGGTCATCCGATATGAGCCCAGAATATCAACAGGTGATAACCGTGTTCTTCTCCACCACCTGGGACTCACCTTTCATGTTAAAATACTAGTTCAGCATCTCTGACTGATTTTCCATCGTTCACCACCAGGTGGAGCATTCTTCTCTCTTTGGTTCTACATTATTCTTAGTCTGAAGCTTTATTCCTACCAGGAAACAAACTGCTGGTACCGCCAGGCTCTTTTAGGTATTTCTGCTTCACTATCTCTGTTGACCTAACTAAACAAAACACAACCAGTACATT